GTTTTATTTATTGACCAATCAGAGCATTTGACATACAGATCATCCCACAGCAGACCATAGTGTTTAATCACAGCCATAGTAACCCTAAAACAGAAATTGGTACCAGGATAGTGGGGTATTGCTGTGAGAGACCCGACCATGTATTTTGGGGAGGTTTGCAGGACTTTGGACTAGAAAAGTCATTGATTGTTAAGCACTCAGTGGGCTGTTCAGTAGGAGCTGGGAAGATAAAATGTTGATGAACACAGGCTCTCCTTTAGAAGCCTGAAGTGGAACCTGCAGTTCTAGGTTTGCCAATCTGCTTTGCCAAACCTGGAAAAGGAGGGGAACCCAGAAGTCCTCCCACTTGGGCATACAGGAAGCCCCAGGATCTGCTGAAAGTTTCTAGTAGGAGGGAGCAGCTACGAGTTGGGCCTTCAGACCTTGCCCACTCCTGCCACCTGCAGGATGAAGTCACAACTGCAGCCTTAACTCTGAGGGGGTGCGGTGGGGAGGGGAGGGCTCTGAATGCAGGGTTGTGAGCGGAGGAGAAAGCAAACCAAAGTCCAGGTGGGGAGCAGCCTAGCGTGAAGCTTTGTGTCTCTGAAAGTCAACATCTTCCTAATGACTAATGTCACCCATAGACAAAGACACACTCATACTACTCATACACACACACAAAGTAGCTCCTTCATTAGGTTTTCAGGGTACTGGTAGCCAGTATGATAGCACGAGTCATTCTATAACTTGGTGCCTACCCAAGATAAACAAGTGCACATGGCCATACAAAGACTTGTAAACAGGTGGCCGAGAAGCTAAATTTTTAATAGTTAAAATCTAGAAACAATCCAAAACCCACTAACATATAAATAGAAAAATGCTTTGTGGTGACATGCACATGGCAGAATACTGTATTAAAATTAGCAATTAAAAATAAACCGGATGGCGGTGGCGTACGCCTTTAATCCCAGCACTCGGGAGGCAGAGCCAGGTGGATCTCTTCAATGCCAGCCTGGGCTACAGAGTGAGATCCAGAACAGGCACCAAAACTACACAGAGAAACCCTGTCTTGAAAAACAGATTAGATAGATAGATAGATAGATAGATAGATAGATAGATAGATAGATAGATAGATAGATAGATAGATAGATAGATAGAATCAAAAATTAACTAATGGGCTGTAGAGATGGCTCAGAGGTTAAGAGCACCGTTTGCTCTTCTAGAGGTCCTGAGTTCAATTCCCAGCAACCACAAAGTGGCTCACTACCATCTGTAATGATCTATAATGATATCTGGTGCCCTCTTCTGGCCTGCAGTGCAATCATACATGCAGGTAGAGCACTGTATATACACATAATAAATAATTTAAAAAAAAAAAAAAGAGCACTGGCTGCTCTTCCAGAGGTCCCACAAGACAGCTCACAACTGTTTATAACTCCAGTTCCAGGGAATCTGACACCCTCACACAGACATATATGCAGACAAAATACCAATGCACATGAAATAAAAATAAATACATTTAAAAAATAAACTATCAAGTGCCAAAAGGTTGGAGTGTGGGCCTGGGAGGAATAGGAAAGTGAGTGTGATTGAGATGAAATTCCCAAATAATAAAATATTGTATTGGAGAGAGAAAAAAACTACTAAAAAGCAGCATAAACCTTTTGGAAAGAAAATATTAAATTTAAAATGCTAGAGGGGAAATAAATGGCCACTATATGATTCCAGTTACACAAAATTCTAGGTCATAGAATTCTTTGGAGAGGGGTGGCTTAGAGTACTATGTTAGTTCTTGAGAGTGAGTTCTTACAAGCGGTCAGCCCTCCTTGTCACTCACACCGCTGGCCTTTCACACGGGCTCCCTCTGTGGTGTTGTAACTGGCTTAGCAGAAGACACCATCAGATAAAGCTGCCTAGCTAGCCTCCAAAACGATATGCCAAACTTTAAAATACAAAGCAAACCAGCTTCACATATTTTGTTATAATAACAAAAGTCACAGTGCCTTGTGCCTGTAATCCTAGCTACCTAGGAAACTGAGGCAAAAGGCTCACTTGAGCACTGGAGTTCAGGGCCAGTCTGGGAAGCATAGTAAAACCCATCTCGTCATAAATAAATAAATTTCTAGGCAATGTAAACAAAGCTATAGTAAGATAAAGGTTATTACTGGCTGCCCGCCAGAGAAAGTCTGGAGAGGGACAAAAAGGAGTGATTCCAAAGGAGCGTGAAGACATATGAGAAAATATAGAGATAGTCATTATTGCAATTGTGGTGGCTTCATTTTACATGTCAATGCATTTAATTTACATATATACACATAGCATGCCACTATTATATAAAAATATAATGAAGCTGTAAAACATCTTAAGCTAGGAAACTGCCACCTCTGAGGCAGCTCATCACGTTTTCTGTCCAGCTTTGGCTCTCACTGCTCTGCAGCAGGGCGTGCCTTCCTTTTGTGGGAATGATTGGGACCACATGTCCAATGATATCCCTGGACCGGCTCGTGTTTCAGTAGGACGGGCCGGCATTAACACTGTGTGTGATGACTAACATGTCAGACTCAGCACCACCAAGATTTCCTGGAAGCCTGATGGCACCAGGAAGAGAAGAGCCCGAACTGTGCCAGAACATTTTGTTCTCCCGTTAACTGATCACACTGCCCAAGTGCCTGAGACTCACGGTGGCTTTCTCACAGTGTCTTAGTCCATTCTCTGTTGTTATAGCAGAGTACCTGAAGCTCGGGACTTTGTGTTTTAAAGTTTGGCATATAGTTCTGGAGGCTAGCTAGGCAGCTTTATCTGATGGTGGCTTCTGCTAAGCCAGTTAGGGAGGGGACCTATATGAAAGGGCAGCAGGTGACCGTGACAAAGGGGACTGAGTGCTTAGAACAATTCACTCTTAGAAACAAATCTGCTCTTTAAAGATCTACTCCTCTGAATACGATTATCCTCCACAAAATAGTTATCTGCCCACAAAACAAACAAACAAACAAAAACCTTGGCCCCCACGATGAAGGCGCATCCCAGGGAGACCTCTGTAGCCAAGGAGCCAGTGTACGTGCCCACAGGGCAGATTGATTCACTCACACCAAGGATCCCACTTGGAGAAGAGGGTCACTGCTGTTCCTAGAGGGAGGGCCTGTCTAGGGGGCGCTGTGGCTGCATCTCATGCTGGTTCATCTATTTCTGGTTCTCTGCCAGTTTCTGTTTTTGTTGTTTGAGGCCAGGTCTACTGTAGCCCAGGCTGCTTTTGAACTTTCTGGGTAACGGAAATGATCCTGAACTCCTGGTCCGTGTCCTCAGTGCTGGCATGTATTGAGTTGAGCAGTCCTTGGGGGAGTAAGCAGAGTGTTAAGGGGACCTCCTCAGGGTGAAAGGAATGGTGAACTAACGCGGTGGGGGTAGTGGGAATGAGCAACACAGAGGGTTAAGTGTGACAGCTATTCTTGGTTGTCAACGTGACTATAGCTGGAATGGACTACAATCAGAAATGGAGGGCACACTTGTGATTTAGATCTTGAGACGGGAAGGCAACACACTTTTTTTTTTTTTTTTTTATGCCAAATGTCGTTTATTGGAGGAGGGAAGAGGTCTTAAATACAGGCTTACAGCACAATGGGAGAACCCCAGAGGGCAGAAGTTCGCTACCGATGTTTTACAATCTTGCATCTAAGCTGTAAATGCCCATTATGCAGGATAACACACTTTTGATCTGGGTCTTGAGCCTGGAAGACACAGACTTTTGATCTGGATCTTGAGGGGACAACACGAGCTTTTAATCCACATCTTGAGGCAGGAGAGCACACTTTTAATCTGGGACACCTTCTGCTGGAAGCCTATCTAAGGACAGTGGAAGAAGGAAGGTTCATTCATTCTTTGCCTGCTGGCCTTTGCCTTGCCAGCACATCCATTTTTTTCACTGGCATTGGAGCCGACTTCTTCAGGATTCCGGCATATACAGAAGACCAGCTGAGGCGTCCAGCCTCGTGGGACTGAGCAGCTACTAGACTCTTGGACTTTCCATTCACAGCTAGCCATGGTTGGACTGCAGCCTGTAAGTCATTCAGAGAGAGAGAGAGAGAGAGAGAGAGAGAGAGAGAGAGAGAGAGAGAGAGAGAGAGAGATTCATTCTGTGACTCTAGAGAACCCTGACTAATTAAGGATCATTTCCCACAACCATGAAAAGTGGATAGGGAAGGAGATTTATGGATCCTATGACTGTCTTGCTATGCTAAGCTCTGCAGTGGTGGGAATCCATCGGGAACTATTGGTAGGTTAGCCCCAGCCCATAGGAGCCTGGAAGAGGAAAGTGGGAGAAAGGGACTAGATAGACAAGAGCATGGCACTGCTGGAGAGAAGTTGATGGGAAGAGGCTGGCAGAAGCAGAGATGCTATGATGTGATTCAGAAGTGCAGCCCTGTCCCTAGTTGCTTAGCAACCGCTGTTGAGCAAGTGGTTGCTA